ATATACTCTAAAGAGATTACAAAGATCAGGTGAAACAAGTCAATACACTGGAAATATTATCTAGAAATAAGTAAAGATTTCTTAAATTTAGTGTATTTATCCTTAATTCGAGTAGCTGCCAATGGGATGAGTAGTTTTACTCTTAAAATAAGATAATTAGATAATATGCACTTGAAACAAGACAATGCAATTGTGTTTTCTTATTTTAAGTGTAAATTGTTTTGTTCCATTGGCAAAATGTCTCTTTTACCTCCTTAATCCAAGAACAAATGCACTTATTTTAAGAAAAAATGACTTATCTAGATTTAGATTTTTTCCAGTATGGATGCCTCCTGGTCGCCTCCCTCGGGAGGGACGCACTAGAGGGACTATGTCTCTGAGCTGGCCTGGTGTCGCCTCAGGGCCCCCCCCAAAACAGCTGGAGGAGGTTTGTGTGGATCAGGAAGTCTGGGCTTCCAGTGTTTTTCAACCCTGGTCCTCAAGGCACACTGCTCTGCATGTTTTGGATGTTTCTGAGCTTCGGCACACCTGATTCAGATGATCGCAGTTCAGCAAAGCCTGATAATGTGCTATCAATTGATAACAGGTGTGTGGAAGCTGGGAAACATCTAAAACATGCAGGGCAGGGTGCCTGGCTTAGACTGCTGCCTCCGCAACCGAGCCCCGGATAAGCAGAAGACAATGGATGGATGGATTCTAAATTGATCTAACTAGGGTTGTCACGATACTAAACTTTTCAACTCGATACCGATACTAAGTAAAATATTCAATACCCTTTTCGATACCACAAGAATAAAAACAAAGATTTTAAAATTCAACAGAAAATTCAAAATTCAAGAAATAAAAAAAAAACAATAAGAATAATATTTTGAGGTTGTATGCTGTGCACAATATTACGCAAGCTTGATTAAAAAACTTAAAATTAAAATTAAGTGTTCCTTCCTTACTGTCAGAGTCTTGGTTTGTTAGTTCCTGTTTTTCTTGGTTTTCCATTTGTTGTCCTCTGCTGCCCCCTTGTGTCCTCTTTCCCTTGCTCTGTTTTCTGTTCTGCCGTCACCTGTTTTCAATTCCCTCGTTAGCCCGCTCTTTGTTTCTGTCCCCTTTAAAAGCCTCCCTCTTCAGTTCCTGTTTGCTGGATCCTCGTCTAACATCTGTCTGCTTTCCTCGTCTCTCCCTGGCTTACAAAAAAAGTCTGAAACTGAAAAATGCACAGAATTATTCAATCACACAGTGTTCAGAGAGTTCATTTTCCACTGTTCTCCAATTTAGATGGATGTATCGATACTTTTTAAAATGAGTATTGTATCCGCATACAACATTTCAGTATCGATACTTTTTTGAGTATCGATACTTTTGACAACCCTAGATCTAACTTAAGGTTAGATCCGGGTTCCTCTCGTTCACCTCATAATTTCCTAAATTCTCCTCATTTTTTAAGCAGAGGTTAACAGAACCGGACAAATAGATTGTTTTATGTTTGAGATGCCGACCTCAGTGCGTCTCCTCTCTGGCTCCACCTGAAGCCTCCTGTCCTGAGGATCTGCTGGGTTCTGCTTCCATGTTCTGGACAGGAGGACAAATCAGACACAAGATGAGACCCAGGAGTTTAAAATAAAGATTTGGAGCAGACGCTGCTCTGCTGGGTTCTGCTGGTAGGTTGAAGCATTCGCCAGTGTTTGTTCCTGAGTCGTTCTCTTTGCTCCCCTCCTGCGTGGCGATGCTCTGAGCAGCTGCAGGTCCTCGTTTTCCACCCAGTCATGCGATGTGACCCAGGGCAAGGTGATGCCGGTTGCCGTGGAAACCGTTGTTTAGCTGCCTCTGCGGGCATGACTCTGCAGTTTGGCAGTAGAATGAGTTTGGTTCAGAGATTAAAAGGAGGTTTAATCATGAGGATGAACGAGGCCGAGGCTGGAGGAGGATTACCGGGAGAATCCAGAGAATTTAGGAGACGATCTGTGGTGGAAACCTCGTGTTCCATCGCTTCTGCACAGGCTTTCTGAAGGTCAAGAACCAAAATAAACACACGTAAACACGTCTATGCTACTTTATAGTTGTAGCCTCAGTGAAAAAGAGATGAAGACACAGCTGGTTTATTTAACTAGGCCAAGATCAGACTGACGGCAGAAGAATGAAAATGAGTCCAAAGGAACGCATCTGCAGAAAGCTAAGCTAGTTTTCTGAATCAAGCAGCAGAGGGAAACTCTTGGTTAAAATCACACATTTCTCAGCTGATTTCTGCTCTGATAGGCAGAAACTTTAACCCGAATGGCTTAAAGTTAAATTATTTAGCTAATTATTTAACTTAATTAAGTTATTCTGCTCTCATGGTTCTGATGAAGGCCTAGAAAAAGCCTGCATGAGTGACTCAGCAGAAACTCTCCCAGAGACTTGCCTTTCATTTTGCTAATTTCTAATGATGTTTACCGGTTAACATCCTGTTGCATCACCTGGTTCACATGGACATTTTCCTCAGCATAAAATAAAATAAGCTTTTTAATCCTAATTTATAGAAACAAATCTGCAGTTCCTCTGCAGAGCCACAAGGTGTCACCGTTTAACAGAAGAAGGCAGATCATCTTCCTGCTGCCCTGTGGCTGCCTCTGATTGGCCGATGGCTCAGTTTGTCAGATGAATTTGCTCCAATCTGTGGAGCTGCTGTTTTATCTGCTCACCTGTCAGATTGGGTCTGTGTTAAAGCTGAAGCTGCTCCTCACTGATGGGAAAGGATTTCAACCTTATAGACCCGTTTCTGTTCGAAGGAAAGCTTTAAATGTTTTCAAAATAATCTTTAAAAAAATGCCAAAACACTTTAATTCCATAATTGATCTAATTGAGTCAAAATTATACTGACTTTAAGGACATTTGTGGTTTTTATGACAGATTAACGTCACCGTTTATTGATCAAATACTCACATTGGAGGGTTTTTAATTCACCCATCCAGCTGTGGATGGTTCCCAGGACCTTTAGAGAAGAAAAGAGGCCCTCAGCATCACAGACCCTCCACCATACCTGCCAGTTGATTGGAAACAACATCTTCTAGAACCAAAGGGGGTCCGATTATCTGTAGAGTAAGATGGTAGAACAGAAAAGGCTTTTTTCCACGACATTCGATGTCATCTGATGAATGTTTTGATTGGTTCCTGTTCTTTAAGTTCTTTTCTGATGCTTTCTCTAAATCAGGGTTGTTTTTCACTGTTTCCATCTTTATTATGCAGATTTTATGACTTCAACTCATGCCTCAGAGCTTATTTCAGGTGCTGATGTTGGGGGAGAGCCCTACAGTGTGAGGGTGGAGTCATTCCTCTGAGCCATTTTAGATTGAAAATATGCCCAGAAAGCTGCCGTAATTCAATTACTGCTTTGTTTACTCCTTTTTTATTCATAATTCATCCTCAGACACAGATGTGGCACCAGTTTCCCAGAGCAAAAAACCTGAGGATGCAGTTTCCACAGTGATAAAGATGGACAGTCTGCTGAATGCAGATCAATTCAGACACTTAATGCAAAAAGCCTCCAATCCTTCACTCCCTGCACATTATTCTAATGATGCTTTAATTGATAGCACTCAGAGGGAGGAATATTTCTCCTCAGATTGATGGTTTTCCAGTGTGTCGTTCAGGGAGGCTTTTGGGTCAAGTGTGTGTTTGTGGCACAGAGAGCTGTTCCCTAACAGCTGAGAGAGAGAGAGAGAGAGAGAGAGGAGTGAGGAGGAAGCGGATTGGTGGAGGAGGAGAGCCAAGGATGGGAGGGGTTGGCTGGTGAGAGATCGAGCAGAGGAGAGGGAAGCTGCAGCAGCCAGGAGATAAAAGCTTTTTCTCCCGTTCTGCTGGCGCCTGCGAGCCGCGGATAAAGCCCAGCTCTGCAGCCGCCGGAGGGAGCGGCAGATCCCGGCTTCCTGCCGTCGGATCAGCAGGCCTCGCGCCGCAGCCGGAGCGGGAAAAAGATCCCGTCTCTCAGCTGATCAGAGGGACCGCCCAGCGTTGCAGGACGCTTGGTGCTGCTCCAGCTTCCAGCGTATCAATCAGACCAGCCCGGTTCTGCTCTGCTCCCAAGGTTTGCTTTCAGCCGGAGACGCCTCCCGTCTTTGTTTCTGAAGGGATGCGGCGTTTTAATCCTCTCTGCGGTTCTGCGTGATGTTCGGGACTATCCTTCACTGGACGCTGAATCCCTTTGGCTCTGCTCCAGATTCACAGCACATCTGCACAAGAAATGGGTCTGGTTCTGGAACTTGAAGTCCTCCCAGAACTGCTTCCTGCTCCCCAGCTGTAGAGTCCAGACGCTAACCCAGAGGCCTGCTCCTCATTAGGAAACGGCAGACTTCAGGAGGAACTGTTGACGTGTTTGGCTTCCTGAACCAAGTCCTGCAAACTCTGGGTCTGTCCAGCTGTTGCGTCATCGCACTGCACCACCTGATGAGGACGAAGGGTTCCCAAGATCTCTAAGGGTTCCTGCAAAACGACAACCTGAAACCTCAGTGATTGATGCAGAGGTGGGGGGCAGAGGGTTTGCTGTCATCCTGCTCATCCTGACAGTTTTTCTAAATGACTCCACAATAAATTTAAAACTGTCAGAGGTTCTGATCCCAACAGGAAGACCCGCCTAAACGGTCCGGATTAAGGAGGCTGGAAGCTCAATAAGCCGTCAGAGCACTGGCTGGATTTCCCTGCAATCTGTTGCAGCATTGGCTGACGGCTCACTCTGTCACACATCCGCACAGAGCTTCCCGTTACTTTTCCCTTCCACCGGGAACGCCGTGGGAAAACTCTGGATACCGATCCCACTCCTCCTGTGCTGCATGAAGCGTGGCCCAGCCATCAATCATTCATGAGCTCAGATGGAGCTCTTTAACCTGAAAGCGAATCCCAGCATCCTTTGGTTCTGGTTCTGTTGATCGGAATGAATCAGGAACGGATCGGGAGGTTTTTCTCCCTCTGGGATGTAGCCGACATCATTTTATATGTTTGGAGTACGATGAGGCTGTAGAACTGTTTTTTATTTGTTTATCTGCCCTCACATGGAGAAAATTACAAATGGGCTGAAAACAACTCTTGATGTCCAGCATGTTGCCTTAATCCAGATCGCTGTTAAATCCGGGTCCTGATGGGACTGGATGGTTTTAATCCAGAATAATCTGCCCTTTCACTGAAACGGCTGAAGCATCCAGGTTTCTGCTCCAGCAGTCTGCAGAAACTCCTTCCTGCAGGTTTATCCTCCATCTTTTCCTCCTCCTGAGTCATGGGGAACTCCATGGGTTGCGTTCGGCCTCTTCGTGAGGCCGATCCGGACGCAGCACCGACTCTTTCACCGAAGAAGCGTCTGCGTTTCAGACGGAAGCAGAAGGGAAACAAGAACCGGAGAGCGGAGGAAGAAAAAGCGGACCAGCAGCGACTGCGATGCTCTGAGCCCGAAGAGGACGATGCAGAGAAAAGACCAGAGTGTTCAGAGCACAGCAGAACCGGGCCAGAATCCCACTTAGGTCACCTCAGAGCCGACCCACACAGTAGCACCCTGTCCCCCGCCTCTGCTGGGGGGCTGCTGAGCAGCAGAAAACTGGAGTCGACCCCCAAACCCAGCCCAGCCTGGAGAGGGGTCTTCTGCCTTCCCGGGGAGGAGGACACCGTCAGCGCCATCATCGACGTCTCCAGCCTGCCGAGCCAAACCGCCGCCACCACCCCGGTCAACGCCGCGCCGGCCCTGGGCAGCACCACGCCAGGCGGGGGCAGGGTCTGCCTGGTTCGGGAGAAAGTTCAGGGGGTTATAGAAAAGCCCTGGATCCAGAAGAGGAAGGAGGAGACGGACAAAGTGAACAAGGAAGGAAACGGGAGCAAGGCGGCGGCGGGTAGAGCTCCTGTGAAGGAGCGTAAAGGTGTAGTCCACATCCGAGAGGTGGACGGGAAGCTGTGCGTGGTGAGGATGGTCTACCCCAGCGATCTGGGCTCCCCGCTCCGCAAAGACGAAGATGAGGTGGAAGTTCACAAAGAGCCTCCCGCACCATCACCCGTCACTGGGAATATTCTGAAAGTCCAGCTGGTGGAAAACAAATCAACGGGTGGGTCCCCCACCTCCTCCAAGGAGCTCCAGGACACCATGAAGGCCTTCAGGCTGGAGCCGCAGGGGAAGTCGTCTCTGTTTGAGTCGGGTTACTCCAGCGATCTCCCTCCCACATCCCCAGAAACAGCTGGTACCACTCCCAGTCAGACGGACTGGGGAGGCCTGACCAGCAGCTCGTCCGAGAAACTGGACTCCACCATGGAGAGTCCGCTGGCGCCGGAGAAGCAGGTGGTTTCCAAACCCCTGCCTCAGGTTGGTGTCCTTCAGAGTTAACCAAACAACCTGATCAGAAACCGTCCAACACGTCCGGAACAAAAAAAATGTTTGGATCTCAAACCTAAAAGCAGAATCTGTAGCAAAACTAAGTAATAAATTTGGGTTTTTAGTGGTTCTGGAGGCACAGAAATGAAGTTTTAAGGGCAAATTCAGGTTTAATCTTATTTACTTAAAACATTAAGTTACTTAGGTATAAAAACAGGATGGGTTCAAATAAATACTGTTTAAACAGATTAGTTTGAACCGTCTTTGAAGTAGAAATCATAGGATATATTTAGTCCTGTTTACTTTGAAATTAAAGAAAAAGTAAAAATTATAATATTCCTGGGATTAGTTTATTTTAAGACCTTCTGTAATCATTTTTATTTCAGTCTGGGTGGGCCAAACAAAATCTATCCAAGAGCTGCAAATGGCCCGTATACCACACTTTGAACATCCTTGTTTGTGGTTACTAACTTAGATTGAAGAGTTTTTATAAAACTTTAAACCTAAAACTGAAGATATAAAGTAAAGTCTGTAGAAACAAAGTAGTATATGTATAGGAAAGTTATCTCCTTATTCTAAAGTATAAATTACATAAAATATCTGGTATCTTCTATTTATTTGAAGCTAAATTTGTCATTTCTAATCCCTTAAACTGCTTTTGGAATCATATCTGAGTATAAACTGAAACTCTCCACATCTGGATCCCAGCTGTTTGATGTTAGTCCAGGTTTTCTGCTCCAGAACCAGCTTGTGCTCGAATCTGTCCCACTTTCTCTTCTACCTCTATGGTTCCTTTCACAATGTCCAACACCGGTGGAACCAGCCCCATAGCATGATGCCGCCGCCACCATGCCTGACAGGTGGTACAGAGTTCTTTGATCTGATAGCTCCAGACATGCAACCTGGATTTGTTTTGTTGGACAGGAACACACCAGGCTCTGATCATTGACCTCAATTCTTAGTTCCGACTCTCTAAGTCCGGCCTGATTTAAAACTAGCCAGCGGCGGCTGGGGGAGTTTTCTCCAAGTGGGGCTATAAATTCGAAATAGATGTATAGCAAAAACCAATCAAACATACACTACCGTTCAAAAGTTTGGGCTCACATTGAAATGCTCTTATTTTTCAAGGAAAAGCTCTGTACTTTTCAATGAAGATAACTTTAAACTAGTCTTAACTTTGAAGAAATACTCTCTATACATTGCTAATGTGGTAAATGACTATTCTAGCTGCAAATGTCTGCTTTTTGGTGCAATATCTACATAGATGTAAAGAGGCCCATTTCCAGCAACTATCACTCCAGTGTTCTAATGGTACAATGTGTTTGCTCATTGGCTCAGAAGGCTAATTAATGATTAGAAAACCCTTGTGCAATCATGTTCACACATCTGAAAACAGTTTAGCTCGTTACAGAAGCTACAAAACTGACCTTCCTTTGAGCAGATTGAGTTTCTGGAGCATCACATTTGTGGGGTCAATTAAACGCTCAAAATGGCCAGAAAAAGAGAACTTTCATCTGAAACTCGTCAGTCTATTCTTTTTCTTAGAAATGAAGGCTATTCCATGCGAGAAATTGCTAAGAAATTGAAGATTTCTTACAACGGTGTGTACTACTCTCTTCGGAGGGCAGCACAAACGGGCTGCTGCGGGTTCTATTTAATGAAGATGCCAGTTGGGGACCAGTGAGGCGTCTGTTTCTCAAACTAGAGACTCTAATGTACTTATCTTCTTGCTCAGTTGTGCAACGCGGCCTCCCACTTCTTTTTCTACTCCTGTTTGTGGAAATGGGCCTCTATACACCTATGTAGATATTGCACCAAAAACCAGCCATTTGCAGCTAGAATAGTCATTTACAACATTAGCAATGTATAGAGTGTATTTCTTTAAAGTTGAGACTAATTTAAAGTTATCTTCATTGAAAAGTACAGAGCTTTTCCTTCAAAAATAAGAGCATTTCAATGTGACCTTAAACTTTTGAACGGTAGTGTATACCAGGTTATCACACCAGTTTATTTACATGAATGCCTACAACACTCAGACCTCAGCTATACCTTTGTAATGCAGAGAAGCTACTGTGCAAGTACAACTTTTAACTGGAGTCAATGGCAAAAGATTTTGGCGCCCTGGAGCGGGAAATACGTCAGCAACCTCAGACAAAAAATCAAATGACGCTTAACTAGTCGTTTAAGATTAAATATTTATCCTGCACATCTAAAAATATATATTAATACATTTTGAAATATTAAAAATTATGTCTTAATCAGGGTAATTGGGTGGATGGGGCGGCGCCTTGGCGCCCTCTATTGGCCAGCTGCTGCTTAAACTAGCCCCACTTTAGGAAGATGTTCTGGTTTTGGAAAGGCAGACGTCCCACTTGTTGGTTCTGATGTGGTTTTTAATCATCTGGATCCATTTTATCTCCTCTAAGGAGGGCGGTTTGGGTCGGATGTGACTAAGGGTGGTTTGGTTCTGTTAAAACTGTTTGTCGTATTTTATTTACCATTGGATAAAAACAGTTTAAAGAAACACTTAAATCCTCAAATTCTTAATCACAGGATGGATGGATGACATTTCCTGTAGATTAACAGGACAGATCAAAGGAGCATCAGGCTCAACATCAACAGTTGGATTAATCTGCACCAAGACAAGGTTTCTACCGACACTAATCGCCACAGGAACATTCCTGATCTGATTATCTGAACCTGACCACAGTAAAGAGGAATAATCCGGTTCCTGACCCGCTCTGTTGTGCTGGGGGGGGCTCTTCTTTGACTGTTTTGTTTGTGGTTCCTTTGCTGTCATGAGTGCAGCACGTCTCAGTGGCAGTCATGGGGTGTTTTTGCTCTTATCGGATCACAAAGACATTAATTTTCTCTCGCTTCTTTCCGGCTTTGTTCTCTGGGCCTAATCAACGTGGCCCAGCCTGTCCCTCCACCGCCCCATGAAAACCCACTGCTGACGTCTGATGGGCAGAGAGGAGGGTTGGTTGAGTGTTTAGGAGAAAGGTCAGTGGCTGTAATGACAGGGATCACATTCCCCTTCAAAACTGAAGCTGCTTATTTACTGCAAATTAAACAAATGACAGGAAAAGGTCATTTAAAGAAGAAATGAGCAGAGCGGTGACATCAGCTTCAACTCAGCTGAGTCAGATCAAAAGTGCACGTTTTTAAACCGGATGTTTTTTTCTGTTGAATGAAGCTGCAGTTTGTTTCAGCAAAAAATTATAACTTTCAAAATGCATTAGTTTCACTTTCCTTTTACCTTAAAACATGGAGGACATTTGCAGCAGGAGGTTGAGGTTAAAACAGTAACAGGCAAAGTGAAAATGATGGATGACGATGCAGAAACCATGCAGAATGACGTCATGCCCTCAGTGCAGAGAGGGAAAAACTCTTTCAGAGCCGCAAACTTTGTGTGACAATATTTCCGGTTGATTTATTGTTTTTAAGAAGCGACATTTTATTTTAGTATCCAGAAAAACAAACCTTTTAAAAAAAAAAAAAAAAAAAAACTTTTTCGTTGAAGTTTTGATATTTGTGGAAAGTCATGTAGAAAAATAACTTTTTTAACCAGCTGAGAAGGAAACATTTATTTAGGGCACTTTAAAATTTGGCTTTTGTTTTTAAAATAATGTGACATTTTTATATATCTACATTTAAAAACATTATTAAATTCTTTATAATTTTTTAGCCAAAGAGATGCTCACCTCCATCAAGCCTCTAAAATCCTTACAGATTTAAATATAAAATCTACGGAAGACGATTAGGGCCACTAAAAAAAAAAAGTTAACTGATTTTTAAATTTTATTTCAGTTTAATATGGGAAAAAAGTTAGAATTCTGACTCTCAGAATTTGGACTTTAATCTCAGAATTCGGACTTTAATCTCTGAGAATTCTAAGAAAAAAGTCAGAATTCTGAGAAAAAAG